TCCTACAGAAATTGCGGCATTCGAAGATCCGAATTATTCCTACAACAATTGGGAATCTCCGGCCGGAGCTGTGACACCATTTGCTTGCAGTATATATGGCGAGTCTGCTTGTTGACTGCAATTCTTTTGACTCGAATACTGAGTTTGAGTGAGGAAGGAGGAAGGGAAACGGCGTCGTTAAAGATGAAATGAAGTGATCCATTTAACATCACTTTCCCAATTTAGACCTAACATGAAATGACAATTTTACCCCTTTCATTTAAGATTAATTATTGATTTAAAATTTTTCGGTCACATTTGGCCGGTGTGACCAAAATTGATAAAAATTGCATAGTCAAGGTACTAAATTAACACTTTTGAAAGTCAAGGAGTGCAATTAACAGAAGTTCAATAGTCAGTGGACTAAAATTGAAATTTACTCTTAGAGAGTATAAATAGTTGATAACATTAGCTGATTGTAGAAAAGTGTTTGGTAAATTAGTTGTTAGCTAATAGCTGTTTGGTATAATTTCTTTTCTCAAAAAGCTAATTGAAAAAGTTGCTTGAAGTAGCTTTTTGAATTTTAGACTTTTGGAGTTGCAAAAAGCTAATTAACCAAACATTTATATTGATATTTTAACTAAATCAAACAATTAATAGTGGTCAAATAAGCCAAAATTGGCCTATAGGTCAATTTTTTACCAAACAGGGCCTATATAAAAAACATTGATAGAATTTTATCAACTTTTTATTTTAAAAAGTCTACAAAAGTCATTGAAATTCTAAATTGAATACATCTTTACAAACTTTCAATGACTTTGACTCTTATCATTTATATATAATTTTTCTTACAAAATATTTAGAATATATCATAAAATTCTTCCTATTATATAGTTTTTCACCTACATCAGCATTCTCAACATTATTATTTTTATCCATAGTATGATGAGACTTACATGCTAAATACTTATATATATTATTAGTCAACATAAAAAAAAAAAAAAACTATTTCATTAGAAATTCATAACAATATTGAACAATAAAATGTATAATAAAAGAATTGATCAAATAAAGTATTTAAAAATATAATTACAAGTTGCATAAAATAAAAAATAAATAAAAATTTAATATTAATAATATATTTTAAAAATTATACTTTTATTGATAGGCATCATGCAAAGAAATATTATTTGCAATAGCAATTTGAGACTGTGAATAACAAGGTGCTACTATTTGCAACCCCAAATCGTTGTTGCGAGCAGTAATTTGGTATTCGTAGTAATCTGTTGTTAAAAAAAAAAAAGTAAAAATATATATTACGAATATACACATAAAAAGAATAAAAATCAAAATATATAAGTATTTATATGAATATTATGAAATATATACTAAAATTTGACGATAGAAAATTTTCTTTGTTCATGTATTTAGGGAGAATTAGAGAAAGTTAGGGGTAAAAAAAAATTAATGTAAACAAGCAATAATGAAGTAAAAATTATATTATTTCGAATTTTTAGATGAAGATGGTAAAGTGTAGGAGAGAGAAAAATTGATAGAGTTTAGGTATGAGGAAAATATAGGATAATGAAGAAAAAATATTTTTTTTTTGAATTTAGATAGGTTTATAAAGTTTAAATAGGGAGAAAAAAATAGAGTTTAAATAGAGAGAGAAAACATTCAAAGTTGTTAGAAAGAAAATTTTGAAATCTTGGGGTTGATGGTTGGATTTCAACTATTTATATTTGAGAAGGAAAAGTCTACAAAAGTCTTGAAATTAAAAAATCTACAAAAAATTCATAACTTTTTGAATACCACATAAGTTTTAAAGACTCTTTAAAAGTCTTAATCGAATACCACAAGACTTTTAAAGACTCTTTAAAAATCTTAATTGAATACCGCCTGACTTTTAAAGACTCTCTAAAAATTTGAATTGAATACTTCCAAACTTTTAAAGTTCATAAAAGTCTTTAAAACTCTATGAAAGTCGTGATTGAATACACCCCCATTAGTATATACATTTGGGTAATTCTATAAATAAAAAAGTATTTGGGTAATTCTATAAATATACTAAATTGGTATCCATTTTTAGTCCCTCAATTATGACTTATGAACGAAGTGACGCATTTGGTCCCCGATCGTTAAAATTGACGGAAAAATTTAAAAATATTTAAAATTTGTAGGGTAAAGTAAGACTATTATTTTTCGGATACTTTTAGTCCTTCTCATGACTTTTCATATTTTTAGTAAAGACATTTTTGTCTCTTCATATTTTTTCTTTTGTTATTTTTCCGGTTTCAACCAGTTTAATTGGTTTAGAACTTTACTAAATACAGGTTGAAAAATATGGTTATTAAAAATATGATGTTACCTAAAGTTCTAAACTAATTAAACCGGTTGAAACCGAAAAAATAACAAAAAATAAAAAATAAAAAATAAAAAGACAAAAATGCCCTTACTAAAAATATAAAAAGTCATGAGAAGGACTAAAAGTGTCTAAAAAATGATAGTCTAAGATGTTAAATGGCAAAAACGATAGTCTGAGACTAAATTTGAAATTGCCACCAAAGACAAGGGACCTCTGGTGGAATTAACTCTAAACCGAATATCATTAATCAATCAAAAGAGCAATACTCTTAGGTGGAAAAGCGTCCCAAACCTAAGGCACAGAGCTAGAGTTTATCGTAGTCGCCAGAATATGAGCAACCCGATTAGCTGATCAACGAACAAAAGAAATAAAAGACGAATGTAAAGAGCCAAGCACGACAAAACAAGCATCCTAAACAAAAACCAAGATATGAATTGAACCTAGAAATCGTAGACAAATTCCTGTGAAGAACCTGATAGTCCATTTTAAAGCAAATCCGAGATAGGCCCTTGGTTTTAACCAATGTTGCAAAAAACGTTAGGCGCCCCCTAGGCGGCAAGGGGGCGCCTAGCGCCTAGGCGCCTTTTTTTTTTTTTTTTTTTTTTTAAAAAAAAAAAATTTTAATTAAAAATTAAAATTTTTAAAATTTAGTAATAAAACATAAGGTTTCCATAGTTATTTCTTAGAAACTATTTACGATAGTGGTTGTAAAATTGTTCAAAAGATTGTTTAAACCATCTAAATACATAAAAAAAACTAAAATTAAGAGTCAAAGAAGCATTTTTTTTGAGAAATTAGTGGACCCAATCGGACAACTAGGTCAAAAGTTATGCCTTCCGGAACTTTTTCCATATTGAAAAAAAAAAAATCGCCTAACCGGCCGGCCACGGAGGAGGCCGTCGAGGCCCTTCCTCGCGGCGGCCTCCCACTGCCTAGCACCTAGGCGCGATTTTTGCAACATTGATTTTAACCCAAGACATCACCTCCTTGCACGTCATTACTTCTGTCATATGTGCACTTTTCGCTCCAAACAATGGTCCACTTTTACCCACAACCCACCTTCCATCAATCGTCCGGTCCCAAAAACTATAAGCTGCTGCATGTGTATCGTGATAGAAAGCTCCATAAAAAAAACAAGTGTAAATAAAATAGATTTAAACAAAAGCAAATAAAATAATTTTAGCCTCTATGGTTTTGACCTTTGAGGCATTTGCATATGCAGGCATATGAGAATAACCTTGAAAAAAAAATTATTGAAATTTTGGAAACAGAAGAATTAAATTATCTGATGTTGATGTTGATCCATCATGCTGTATGTGTGCCATATTTCATGAGGATGTCATGCATTCTTTGATTGAGTGTACTTATGCATTCCAAGTGTGGAATGAATCACATCTCCCTATTTCTTGTGTGACTGGTGGTTGCTTTGCTGAGTGGTTTCAGAATGATGTGTCTGTTTTAACTGAGGATGTTCTTATTCAAGTTATTGCAGTCCTTTATGAATTATGGAGAGCAAGAAACAATGCGATATGAGAGGCTTATCTTTATACACCACACCACACGTGGAACTTGGCCAAGGCGGTGGTTGCAGCATGGCGTGCGACTGGGCTTCATGCTTCGGGATCTTCACGGCTGCAACAACCTGTGCAGCTGGCTCCGAGTTGGCGATGCTATGTAGATGCTGGCCGCAATCCGGACTCGGGAGCAGCCACATTTGGAGGGGCGTTGGTTGCGGAAGATGACAGCTTCATTGCGGCGGTCAATGTGAAGCTTCCTTTTAGCAAGAATGCACTTACGGGTGAGGTACTGGCTTGTATGGAAGTCCTGTCATGGCTGAAAGCACGAGATGTTACAGAGGTCACTATTTATACGGATTGTTTGGTACTAAGGTTACATCAATAGGCCTTATTCCCCCCTAGATCATATGCGGGCGTGGTGATTCGCGACTGCAAGACTATTATGGATACGTTTACTTCTTGCGTTTTAGTTTCGGTGCCTCGTGTTTTAAATATTTTAGCTCATACTTTGGCCGCGGAGGCGTTTTCTCAGGATGGTTCTCTGTATTCGGATGCTATCCCACCTGGCTTTCTTTTGATGCATTTGTGATAATGTTGATTGGTGTTTGCTTTCAAAAAAAAAAAAGAATTAAATTATCTTAAAAAATTAATTAAGATGTTTGGTTTGTTTAAATTTTCTTAAGATTTTTTTTTAATCTCTAATATATCCTTGTTATATATAAATATTTAAAAAAAAAAACATAACGAATAATTGAGAGTTTAATGAATCAGTTGTAAGTTAATAAATAATACACACATAAAAAAAGTGTTGAGAGAAACCAATATTTTTCAAAAAATAATGTTTTATAAAAAACTTTTAATTAATGTCAAAAAAAGATAAAATACATAACTAAATAACTTTGATAGTAGATTCTTAGATCTTAGTCAGACACTCAGACAAAAATAATTCTACCCCTGGTAAATTTATTTTTCGTAATATCATGAAATTATATTTTTATTTATACAAAATAATTTTCTCAAATTGTAAATTTTCAAGAAAGTTTTTAACTTTTTTTTTTTTTAAAAGGAAGAAAGTTTTAACTTATTTACAGACGCAAGGAAAAATTAAGGAGGGGGGGGGGGTTAATTATGAATGAACTCCGAGGATCACTGTCGAGCTTCAGTCTAAAACTCAGCTAAACCCTCACAAAAACCCTAAAAATGGCTCTAACAACCCCAATTCAAGTTCACCGATACCCACAGAGCCAGTACATCGACGCTCTCCGATGGCTCCCCCGACTCTCCGCCTTCCACCGCCACATTATCCTTGCCGCCTTCGATTCCGACGCGTCTTCCCCCTCCCTCCAACTGCTCAGCCTCTCGCAATCGCCGCCGTCGGATTCAGATCCGGAAATTCCCGAACTCAGTGTAGAATCATCCATTTCCACCCCTTCTCGGATCTCTGCCCTGAAAACCTGCCGAACCTCCAATAAACCTCTCATTACTGCAGCCTCATCTTCAGGTTCTCTCTCGATTCTCTCTGCGGATTTGATGAATGGGTCGTTAAATGTCGAGGCCTCGGTGACCGAAAGAGGGTTCCATTACGGACCCATCTTGGGGATTGATGTGAGTGAAAATGGGTCCGAGGCTGTTAGTGTTGGGGAAGATGGGAGGGTGAATTGGATCAACATTGGTGGTAGCATTGGAAAGACAGTGAATTTTCAGAAAGTTTTCGACAATAATGGGCTGGTTTCTTATCAGGCGGTTAAGTGGGCTTCGCCAGTGGAGTTTGTGACTGGTGGATTGGGTTATAGTCTTCAGTGGTGGGATCGGAGATCGCCTGGTGGACCTGTTTCTCAGTTTAAAGGAAATTGGTAATAGAATCTGTCTCAGTTATTTTAATTCAGTTTCATGTCATACAGTTTGTAAATGTGCTGTTCTATTTGTTAAATCTTTACAGATCTTTGAATTTTTGCACTTGTAGTTTAGAAGAACTATGTCATATGGATGAATTTGTTTGCCGACCTGTTGGCCTAAATGCTGAATACCTGAGTTACCACTTTTAACAAAACAAATTTTAGAAGTGGGATGCCACTTATCTAATCTAATCTGAAAACATAATAAGTCTCAATCCAGGTTATATCCCTTATTTATGTCTGTTTTTTCTGTTAACTTGTTTTTATACATTATGCTATAAGAGTTGCACTATACAATTTTTTCTGACAAAAATATCCCTACCGTTATGCACAATGGAGTATCTTTTTATTCAAGGGTAACAATGTCAAATAGATGAATTTGTTTGCCAACCTGTTGGCCTAAATGCTAAATACCTGAGTTATCACTTTTGACAAAACAAATTTTAGAAGTGGGATGCCACTTACTCCGTATTTGATATATAATGGTCGAAAGTTGGGAATAGAAAATGTGCCCTGGGATTCTATATATTTATAAGAGTCAAGTTTAAAGTGCATGTTTTTTTTCCCGGTTTGAGGTTTTCATATTTGGGCAATACTTTAGTTTATTGAGTGCCACAGTCACTAAAAATCAGGATATTAAAAATTGGGTCTGGTAAAGGCATTGATTTCTTCTTGGGTATACATTGTCTTTATATGCTCCATGCAGTAATAATGGTTAGACACTCTATGTAAAATTTGGACTTTGTTGTATCCAATTCTGTTTCCTCTCTCTCTCTCTCTCTCTCTTTTTTTTTTTTTTTTTTTTTTTTTTTTAAACATGCATGTCTTTCTACTGACAGCATTTTTAAGTTCTAAAGTCTAAAAAGTGCTGCTTTAAGTAAAATTTTATTATCAGTGTTTCCTTTCTGGAACTACATTATGATGCCAAATTTGAAGATTTGCTGTGTCCTTTCATTTTATTTTAATTTTGATTGTTAACACTAGTCTCTGCACTATCTTATTTCTAAGGATTAGGAGTGGTTAAAATGGAGCACAGAAATGCAGTGTTTTGTGTTTGTATGATTCTAATATTATAGTTTCTGGTACTCATTAAAAAATAAAATAAAATAAAATAAAAATAAAAAACCGAGGAAACTGTCTTTGTGCTCCACAGTCCACAAATTTTTATTTTATAGTGTTGCTTAAAGCCGAGAGCCCAGGATTCTGGCTCTTTTTTGTCTGTGTAGTTTTCTTTTTAGAGAAAATATACAATGCACTGATTGCATATGAGAACAATGCACTAGTAGTTAACCATATTATGCCCCCCCCCCCCCTCCCCCCCTCCCCCCCCCTCCCCCCCCCATTTCCTTAATCTTTAGTTATGACTGATTTACAATGTAGGAAACTGTTTCACTAATATGTACACTATCACTGAATTGTATATTTTCTCTTTTATCTCCATTTGTTCATTTAGACGCCAAGATGTGAATGGGTTTAATCAAACTGACCCTTTCTGTTTATGATCTCATGGTTGCAAACCTCAATGTAGTCTTGAAGATACCATTTCATCCTCTTAGCCTTCTGTTTTGTTTTTGTTTTTTTTTTTTTTTGTTTTCTCATGTTACTAGTAAACACAATGACAAATTATTTCATGATGCTATAGGAATCAAGGAATCATGCCTGGCATTGTGCATTCAATTGACATTCAACCATCAAGGAAGCATACTTGTCTTGTAAGTAATATTCACAATTTCATATAATTTGCTTTATTGATTATAGATCAGTATGTGTCTTAGACCTAGGTTATGGATGCAAGTTATGGCTTATATGAGAGATGACCTTGTGAAACTTATTTAAGGAACTCACTAAGCCGCCTTCACTTAAACACACATGCACATATCTCCACCTCCCCACCTGGTGCCAATAGAACAGTAGGACCACATAATATGAGGTCAATTCACTTCAGCACCATGGTAATCAAAAGTTGCACATTTTAATGTCATTAGCTGCAGCAATTACTACAGCAAATGTATAGGCTATGGCGCAATATAGACAATCCGTAGCCTGTCATGCAATTATGTGAGGTTTCACTTATAATCATGTGATTTTTTTCTTCATCATTAATCTCCATGATGTTGGCAACATGTAACTGCTCCTGCTAGGAAAATAAATTGGCTGATGCTTTGATGGCATCATACACAAAGTGACAGATTAAATTTTATGATGAATTTTAGATGGCGACTTGTAATAGTATTTTGGTTCATAATCATATTTGTGCTAGCTAAATATTTCACATGTGAAAATTCTAGCATATACTCTGTAGCATACAACCATCAAAATCATATGGCTTGATTCCAATGCCGGTGAGGTATTCATTATATACACCTCAGTTACTATTGACTCTTCTCCCCATTATAAATGCCCATTGAATAAGCTTTTGGCCGTCTTTTTATGTCCTTTGGTCCATGTGTAAGTTTCATGTATCAAGGAAAGGATTAATTTGTGATTGTTAAAGTTCTGATAGTATGCTGCTATTTGGGAAGAGTTACTCAAGATCAAGGTTCCATAGTAATGTATTATGATGTTCCCTCACCTATAATGGCATTGAGTAAAAATTATCTGTTTATTAGGTTATTTGACATTAAATATATGGAAATCGCATCCTTAGATTAGTTCTGAATACCATGTGCATTAATTTATTTCCCTATAATTTTATTGTGCCTAAAGGCAGGAGGTTCTTCTGGTACTGTATTTGTATGGGATCTTCGTAAGCCACAACAGTCTATAGTTCTTACTGGTGTTGGGACCAGTGATTCAGCAGTCCAGACACTATCAGAAAGTGAGGTTTGGGAGGTTCAATATGACAACTATTCTCATTCTTCCAGCATTGCCCACACTTCTGCCTCATCTTTTCTTCCTGCCATGATTTGCTCAGAGGATGGCATCCTTGGTGTAATTGATCAAGGTGTGTAATGCATATAGACTTTTTATGCATTTTCATTTTTTGAATCATTTCCGTTGCTTTTGGATACACCTTCCCTGGTTTATGATTTTTTTGGTTTGCTATGATTGCATAGGTGAAGAACCTATTGAACTTTTGGCTGAACCATGTGCCATTAACAGCTTTGACATTGACAAGCAAAACCCCTCGGTATGTGGAAATACAATTTAATCATGTCTCCAAGATTACAATACCCATGACCTCATTTCCATATTTTTCAATTGTCTCCGCACATGTACTCTGCTCCCCATTTCTTAACCGTCTTATTTTACAAACTCCAATGGACATTATTGGCTCTGTTTGCTATAACTAGCTCATAAGCTAGCTTAAAGTTGAAAGCTTAAAAGCTAGTAGCTACTAGCTTATTTTGAAACGCTCAGTAGAGTAGTGTTTCAAAATGAGCTATTATTTTAAGCTCCAGATGCTTTATCAAACAGAACTTATAGCTCTAAAATAAGCTCTACTAAACAGAGCTCTGAACTATAGCAATAGACTTCTACTAAAATGGAGTTAGGCCGTGCATTTTAACAATTACCGTGTTGGCGTGCAGGATGTGGTTTGTAGTTTGGAGTGGGAATCTGTGGCCATCTTGACAAGGCCGTAGCTGCTACCGCCAGAACCAACTAGATGGTGCAACTCTCTTTTCTGTCTCATAATGTTTTATCAACTGTAAATTATTATAAGGTTGATAAAAGTGATGCAACCTTAAAACATGCTAACACTGAAGAAAACCTTTATTTTAGTGACTGTGAGCATAGTTTAATGAATGATTGATGGTATGTGGCAATGATTGGAAACAGTTGTGGGAAGTTGAGAACTCATTCTTCACATTCATTAACGTGATTTTCCACCTAAGTCACATTGTGAGCACATGTGAAATGATTCCTTGTCATATATTCCTCCTAACATGTATATAAATCCTAAGATTTGCTCAGTTTTTTCCATCAAATCCAGTTACCCTTTCTCTCTATCTATATATAGAAATGAGATCTTCCATCTTATTAATTCTTCTTTTGTTATCACAAACTTCTTCACTGTGTTTATCAAAACCAATCAGACAGGAGGGGGTGAGCCCAACTCCCAGAAACACAATCAGACAGTTCCTTCTTCCCCACAACAGAATCAGAGCAAAGCTTGGCATTCCCCCACTCAAATGGAGTCCCAAGCTGGCTGGCTATGCAAGCCGGTGGGCCCATCAACAGCGGCAAAACTGCGAATTGCTTCATTCCGGTGGTGACTATGGCGAGAACCTTTTCTGGGGAAGCGGGACCGACTGGGAACCAGGTGATGCAGTTGCAGCATGGGCTAAGGAGAGACTCTATTATGACTATTCATCAAATACTTGTAAGCAAAACAAAGATTGTTGGCATTATACACAAGTAGTTTGGAAGGAGAGCACGAGAGTTGGGTGTGCTAAAGTTATATGCAACACTGGGGATACTTTGGTTATTTGTAACTATGATCCACATGGTAACGTTATAGGGGAGAAGCCTTTCTGATAATATGTTTTATAATGTTGTAAAGCTATAAATTTTAGGAAAAAGGGTTAAATTGGTCCCCTAAGTCATTCGGATAGTGCAATTAGATTCTTTAAGTAAAAAAATAAAATTTCATTCAAATGCTTGCCTATTTCACGAACAGATGTGGTTGTCCGGTGAGGACAGTCACAATTGTCAAACATGAGCTCTAGATTTGGACAATCTGGAACGAAGGCGATGTCCATGGCTGTCCAGGGTCGTCCCCGACAACCATGGCCGTCTAAAAAAATTTTGAATTTTTTTTAGACGGCCATAGATGTTTGGGGATGGCCCTGGACATGGCTGTCCATAGCCGTTTGGAACAAGGGTGGCGGCCATGGCCACTGCTCTCATTCCAGATTGTTCAGATCTGTACCTCATGTTTGACAGTCGTGGCTGTTCTCGGATGGCCACGATCGTCTGTGAAGGAGGCTGTCCTCGTCGTACAATTTATTTATTGTCAAGTTTGGAAAGACTTAACCTACTATACAAGTTGATTTGGACTTAATTGAACAATTTTATAGGTTTAAGGGATTTGAATAGAGTTTTTTTTTTTGTTTTTATTTTTATTTTTATACTTAGGGGAATCTAATTGCACTACCCGAATGACTTGGGGGCCAATTTGACCATTTTTCCTAATAACAACAACATTAAATGGCAATATAGTAATTTTCTTGGTGTTTTTTTTTTTTTTTTTTTTTTTTTCCTAGTTGCCATCAAAATGTAATTCCTATGGGGGTGGGGGTATATGAATTGTAATTCCACCGAATTGTAATTCTCTCCAACCAAACAGTGTAATTGAGGAGTTTAAAGAATTGTGTTGTAAGGGTTTGTTACTTTACATATCACACTCTTTCTAAAAATAACAATCAATAAACCAAAACTTCTTATATATGAATCTTGTACTTCTCACCTTCATTACATTTTTTTGAGTACTATTGACTCTATTACAATGTAGTATTTGCGACCTCTCATTTGGGAGAACCAAATAGGTGTCATTGAGCTCCAAGCTACTTAGCACCTTCATTACACTTTGATTTACATGATTATATTATGTTCTAAGTCTTGTGGTTCTAGTTGGTAAATGATTACAAGTCACCTTAACTAAACTCATAAGTATGAAACATTTTAGTTAATTTCTATGCTTAAATATGTATTAGATTCAAGTAATTCTTATTCTACAAATTCATCAGGTGATTTACAATTCAATTAAACCATATTAATCATATGTAACACCATTTATTTCATGCATGGAAAATAACAACTTTATAAGTAGTTAGAAAATAAATAAGCAAAAATTATAATTAAAAATATTATTCAACGCTTCTTGCTAAATAGATTCTTTTTAATTATCACTTATCTACGAGTTAGGCTATCTTTATTCCTACAAATAAAATTTTGAGACAACACATAAATATTTCAATTTATGTATTTATTATAAAATAATAATAATAATATTTAATCATGTATTCATGTGCCCCAAAATTTTATGCCCTCTAGGCTCGAGTCTCTAGATAAGAAAAATGTTTGGAGAGAGACAGATAGATCTTCTTCTACTATGGCTCTGCTGACGTCATCGAAGGGAGTGGTGATATCAGTGCCGGTGCTTGTTCTCTCCGCCGCCACAGCCGCAGTCTTCTTCTTCTTTCTCCTCTCTTCTCTGTCTTCACCTTCATCGCCCCCTACTTGCTCTTGCCCTACCGCCCTGGATCGCACTGCCTCTAGCGCCGCTACCACCGGCTCCTATGAGGACCGGATCTCGCCGTCGGCGGAGGATATTGAGTGGGTGAAGGGGCTGATCGTGGCCAATGGCCTCCATATGGCACAGAATGTGCTCCGCAAAGGGATTAACCCTCGCACTCGCCAACAGCAGCTCCAAGATCTTCTTCAGTATGCACCCTTTAAACTTACGTCTGTATTAGTCTCTGTGCAAATATATGCTTATTTGAGTGCATGTGTTTATAATTTGGTTAGGTTTGATCTTCTTATTCACAAAGTGATTTGGTTGCATATATGAATTAGTTTTTATTGAAAGATTGATTGCTGATTATTGATGTTTATAATACATAATAAATAGCCTTTGGGATATGATTTGAGCGGTCAATACTCAATAGCTTCCTGCCTGTACTTCTTATAAGTTATATTTGAACTTCAATTTAGAAGCACAAGTACAGTAACTGTAAGCAAGCACTCTTGAGCTATATAGGGTGAAGAGATCACAAGAAGATTCAATTTCAGGAGAAGAAATCCTCAGCAATAGAGTGCCAACCAAAAGATTAAAAGGAGAATAAAATAAAAAGTTGATCACAAGCCAATGTTACCAAGAGACATCTAGCTTATAGCACAAGAACTCCTTGTCCCCTTGGCTAAAAACACTGTCTTTGTGCCCAACTGCCCATCCCTCAGATCTGTAGCATACACTATAGCCAAGCCACACTAGGCAAATATGACCGGATTAAAAGCAAACTTGAAGCATCCGTGTAGTATTTATCTGAATGATAAGAAGGAAGTAAAGAAGAAGATATAGTTAAAGTAGAAGAAAAACCCTCCATAAAGGAGGAGCCAAGGAAGTTGGTTGCGCCAATGGGGAAACAACCAACAGAAAGGTTTTCTCTCTAGAGAAACCTCTAAAGGCCACATCATTGGGGCTACCACCGGTTGGTGTCTCTGGTGGTTATCCCCTCCATACTCTAGGGTTTTTCTCAAGTGAAGGGAAGTATATGAATCTGCTGGAGTTTGGAATATTTGGTGGCTATTGGCCAGTCACACATACCAAGCCTATAGGTTAATGGTCAGTAAGTTCACCTATATGATTGAGCTGCTCCTTTTTACAAGAGATTTTGAGTTGTGAGTATTCCTTTGATCCTTTCAGAGGATATTAACTATATTTGTACAGTAAGATCTGTAAGTAATTTTGAATTATGAAAAGATGTAGGAAAAAGAAATTATTTAGCATTTTCTTTGAAACTTTGTTATTTAGACCAACCTATCCGTATGTATTACCCCTATATAATGCTTGGTGTTCAAAATTTTACATTTTTACCTCGAAACTGTTAGGCTTTTTTGTTTTTAAAATCTTTCTTCAAACAGTGTCTTTAGCAATCAATTTAATCTAGATTTATTTTGGAGTACTCTTTTCTCTCTCTCTCTCTCTCTCTCTTCTTCTTCTTCTTTTTTTTTTTTTTAATGAACCAAATTAGGGAAAATCTGTTGGCTAATTAACAAGTTATACATGCTTAACTCTATGCAGCTTTGCTAATATGCCAGTAAGTTCACCTAGATCATTGTGTTGGTGGCTTCCTTGTTATAGGAGAATTCTAGTTTTTCTCTCAGAGGCTGTTAACTTCATTGTCTTTTATGTAGTTTTTATAGGAGAATTCTAGTTTTTCTCTCAGAGGCTGTTAACTTCATTGTCTTTTATGTAGTTTTGAATTATGAGGTGTACGATAAAGATGCTTTTGCACAATATCTTTGGACTGTTTAATCTCAAAACTTGTGGATTTGAAGTATTTCCGTTTCAATTTTAATGTTCTATTTAGCAAATCGTTATGTGGTAAATAATCAATTTAGTGTTGAGCTATTTTAGAGTAATTTTTAGTTTGTTTTGGTTAAAGGAAAATTTGGTGACTAATTAGCCAGTCACACTTGTTGAACTGTGTGAATGGTCAGTAAGTTCACCTATATAATTGTGTTGGTAGCCTCCTAGTTACTAGGGAACTCTCTGTTTCTTTTAGAGGTTATTAACTACATCAGTGTTCTGTAAGGAACTTGTTACTATGATAAAATTCTAAGTTATTAAGCAGTTGATTTTGACTTTGTTATTCCAAATACCCACCCTGACATATTCTCTGGTTCTGCGTTGTGTTGAATATTTTACTTCAAAACTATTGGCATTTAGGGTACTTCTATAAAAACTCTTCAGTTTTTTTGTAAGTAGGTGTGGTGTCTCTTTTGTTGTAAATTTTGGATGGAGGAAACATAAAGGTAGGCTGAAAAACTGCATTGAATTTAGATTAACTTTGTTAATAAAAGCTAATTGTTGTTCGTGAATGAATTTGAATTGGGTGGCTTAATTGTTGTTTCCCAAATAGTTGGATGGCTTATTTGTACTTTATCCCTATTAATATTGAAGGAAAAGAATGATGAGAAAAAAGAGAACAAACTTTCACAACTAATCAACTAAATATTAACTTCGTTTAATCGAGTAGAACAAGAAACATGTTTGCTATTTGACTTCTTACTCTGCATTTCTTTTTTTCAAATTGAATCTACCTCTTCCCATAGGAAAACTGGAACTCTTATTTGCTTCCTTGAGGAGTTGAGCTAGTTGTCAGAAATCATGTTGAACTTTTTTTTTTAAAGGTTCAAGGGAATATCACACTATGAAGGAGAGGAAGCAAATAATCACACTGCTCTCGCTTGTCCCAGTGAGCTCCTTGTAGAAGAGCACCACAGCAATTATGGGGAACCTTGGGCAGGAGGGCGAGATGTGTTTGAATTCCTTGCAGAATCAGTTCATCTAGCTCCTAACTCCAAAGTTTTGGAGATTGGATGTGGGACCCTTCGTGTTGGTTTGCATTTCATCCGGTACTTGAACCCTGAACAATACCACTGCCTTGAAAGAGATGAGCTATCCTTAATGGCTGCCTTGAGGTATGAGATTCCATCCCAAGGTTTATTACCTAAACGTCCTCTTATTGTAAGAGGTGAAGACATGGAGTTCAGTAAATTTGGATCTGGAACCATGTATGATTTGATATACGCAAGTGCTGTTTTCCTTCATATGCCCGATAAGCTTGTATGGGTTGGGTTCGAGAGACTTGTTGATAGATTAAAACCTCTAGATGGTCGTATTTTTGTGTCACACAATATAAAGTTCTGTTCAAGATTAGGAGGAGACGAATGCACAAAAAGGCTAAGTAATCTTGGGCTTGAGTATCTTGGGAAGCACACTCATGATAGTTTGCTCTTCAACCACTATGAGATTTGGTTTGAATTTAGGCGCTTCAAGGCTTAAAAATATATAGACAATCAGATGGAGATCGAT